GTATCAGGTCAACAAAACATGGGCATAGAAACAATATTTTTTAAACTGCATTTATCCAATTTAAATATCCTTACCTAATTCCTTTGTAACAACTAAGGCATAAATGTAATTGATTCAGAAAATCTTTTTAGGACCCCACCTTGATGTTTCAGGACCCCACTTTGGGTCCCGACCCCAACTTTGGGAAACACTGTCCTAAATTATACTGTCTATCTAGAGCAGCAGTCCCCAACTGTTTTTGCGCCACGGACTAGTTTATTGTCGGACATGTTTTTACGGACCGGCAAGGTATGACTGATAAATACAACAAAAGAAAATGACAGCCTACGACCAACACAAGAACTGGTATTTCGTTAATATAATAAACGTCAATCCATTCACTGTGTATTTGTATGTAACCTTTATTAGCAGCATCTTCTTGACATGTGCCAACAACTTTTCTCCTTTGCCTTTGTAAAGAAACTTTCCAAAGACATCTGTTTTCACCGAGACAATGTCTTGACATACGTCAAGAGTGAGTCATAGATGTAACAAAGAGAATCTGGTCGTTTTTCAAAATAAAACATTATTCAGACTGCAATAATAAATACAACRGAAATAATGCAAGTTATTTATTCTTTCTGTGYGACCCAGTACCAAACGACACACGGACTGGTACCGGGCCATGGCATGAGTGTTGGAGACTGCTGATCTAGAGGGAAACCCAAACATCCCACTCCATAGTGGCACCCAGAGTGGATATATTTTATATATACTTAGCACAAAAAGTAAGAAAATTTGTGTTTGGTTGATTATTTCTTTTTTGTAACAATGATTCTGGGCAATAAATTATATACCGTTGGAAAGCCTGTTAATTTTTCTTTTCGAATGGTGCCACATTTGTAAGGAACATGCATTTATGAGATGAGCAGTAGGGCTGAGTATGTGGGTTGCACACATAAAAACTTTCTCAAATCTTCTCTGYCAAACAGCTTATTTTGCTGTTTCTATTGACTCTTGTTTTGAGCTTCTGCCAATCAATTACCTGCAATAAAGTTTATTACCAAGAAGCACTTTTATAACAAAAAATATACCAACCACAAATTTCCTTACATTTTGTCCTAAATTTTAGTCTAAGCAGAATTCAGACTCAGACCACATTCAAAGCATATTCCTCACGCCTTAAAACAGTTGCTCAAAGATTTAAAAGCAGTTCATGCAAAYACTTTTACTCAAAYATTTACATGGTTGTCAARTTTGTWTTACACAGAATATATTGTAGAAATATGACATACATGCAGGAACTGAGACCATAATCACAGAACTCTGTTTAATGAAATTATGTAAGCTGATTTGTAAAAATGTTCAAGTTAATGTGTACAAATTTGTATACACACACACACACACACACACACACACACATTTGTACGCTTTACATTAATTTGTACAATTTAGGTGACTACAACAGCTTAGCTGAAAGTTTGTAGTTAAAACACATCTTGTTCGTTTTCATCAAATCCATCATGGAGGTGTTTACAGCTGATAAGATGAGAACTGTGTCCCAGTATTTATGGACCTGACTGTATTTAAAYTTTCCCACTTGTTTCCCTGAAACACAAAAATTATTTAGATTAAAACTGTTTACTTAAAGCAAAAATCCACTTTGGTTATGGCTCCTCTTAGACCAGCTGTCAACTCCTCAGTCCAGTCAGACATAAACTCTAACTCTGAAATTATATCTGCATCAGGTAAAATGTTTATTGTTTATMACCGGTGGTGGGCAGCACTAAACTAAAAATTAGTTCCACTGACCCTAAAACACTAACTCAAATATTTAGGTCCCCTAATTCTAAGCAGTAACGCACTGAAAGTTTTGGAAAAGCTAATTCTAAAGCACTAAAATAACCCAGTCAACAGACAACATGAGCCACATGTTGTCATGTTGCTTTCTTAAGACTTATTATCATGTTTTTCCCTCTTTCTCTATTTTCTCTTTACTTAAAAAAACCACTGATGATGAAGAAATTACGAAACTAATATGAAGTTATTTTTTCTACTGAAGTGATAAAAAAGAAAAAAAAAGACTTATCATTGACATCCCACAGCCGTATTTGAGTGGAATGATCACATTAAAGCATAAACGAGATTATAAACTTACCATCACCCTCCTCTTTGTGTCCTAGCAGCAGGTAGCACTTGAGAAGTTTTCAGATTTCCCCAACTAAGACTTTTTTAAATGTTTTCTGCGCGTTAAATGAAAAATGTTATCCCTCCCACCCAGATACACGAAGATGAAGACAGCCACCAACATTTACATCTTCAACCTGGCCCTTGCCGACGCCCTGGCCACCAGCACCCTCCCCTTCCAGAGCGCCAAGTACATGATGAGGACGTGGCCCTTCGGGGAGCTGCTGTGCAAAGTGGTCATCGCCATCGACTACTACAACATGTTCACCAGCATCTTCACGCTCACCATGATGAGCGTGGACCGCTACGTCGCCGTGTGYCACCCGGTCAAGGCCCTGGACTTCCGCACGCCCGCGAAAGCCAAGCTCATCAACGTCTGCATCTGGATCCTCTCCTCTGCCGTGGGTGTACCCGTGATGATCATGGCTGTTACCAAGGTGACAGATAAAGGTGGGTGGGTTTAATTGTTTCACTGTGGAATCGTTATTACTGTAGAGAAAAGCTGTTTTTCCTTCATTAGCTTGTTGCAGGTCGTTATCGCACCATGAAGGAGAATCTGAGCTGGGTTATTAACTTAAAGGGCCAATATTATRTGTTTCTCAGGCATACATTTAAATACTATACCATAATAAAGTATCTATGTCACCTTTTAGTTGTTGTTAAAATGCTGTTTTTATGTTTAAATAAAAAATAAACTTATCTTCTCATCACTTCCTCTTCTAAACGCCTTGAAATTGGCCTATGTCTCTTTAAGAACCTCCTGAAAATACATTTCTTCAAAAGTATTTTGAATCTGAAGAGCTTCACTGAGTAATCAGTAGTGTAACCCCTAATTTACATTACATGCGTTACGGCTCCGCTCCGGTCCGACAGATGTGCAGGAAGGAGATCACGCGATAAATTCAGTGATAAATGTGGAAGTCACAACAAAAAATAATTAATTCTGTGAAAGACGAACTCCAAACACAACTGAAAACAACGATATAAAGGCTTTTGGTATCTATGTTGAAACTGTCTCGCTGTCGGCTTTCTGAAATTTCTGATTTCAAAATAAAATCCACGTGTATCGTGTGTCCACACATATGCTTCATGCTACATGTTTCCATCTGCTCCCCAAACAGAACGATACATTCTGACAGCATTTGTGCAGAAATATATCCATATATTTATTAATATAACTGCGATTTCGACATTATTCCAACAAATTATCCAGCCTAAAAGGGTCTTATTTTGAAAATACGGATGTTGTGCTCGTTTCTTTTCCTGTTGGTGTGACGTAATCTTTAAAAATTGACTCCGGCTCCGCTCCGGTGTCTGGCAAAAATTGGATCTGTTCTAATTTTGATGGATTGCCGTCCGCTCACCACCACCATGCGCAGCCAGTGTAAACACTCATTGATTATAATGGGTATGTATTTGCTGCGGAGGTCGGACTGGACCGGAGAGGAGCCGGAACGCATGTAGTGTAAATTAGGAGTTAAGAGCAGCAGACAGTTTAAGTTTCACTTTCACTTTGCTCTGTTACTGCAGAGAGCCTGCAGGAGTCATGGGCGGGGTGTGTGGGGTGTGCTCGTGCTGAGGAAGTTCGGCTTAAAGACACGTCCCAGGGGTGTTTCTGGTCCCCACCTGTCGTTTTGCTCCTCAGCATGGCTTCCTAAAAATGCTGCAGGATTTCTCAAACATGCATGAATGAGTCAAAGGAAGGCTTTGGGCATGTTTTTTTATGAGAGTATAACATTTAAAATGATACAAAACTCAAAAAAGTTGATWTTACATGATAYTGCCSCTTTAAATTAGCTCGAACATGCAACAAAATAACCCCCCTGGTGTTTTAACTCCTCAGGAAACACAGCCTGCACGCTCAGATTCCCTGAACCGGAGTGGTACTGGGACACGCTGACYAAAATCTGCGTCTTCGTCTTTGCCTTCGTGGTGCCCGTCCTCGTCATCACCATCTGCTACGGCCTGATGATCCTGCGTCTGCGGAACGTGCGCCTCCTGTCGGGCTCCAGGGAGAAGGACAGGAACCTGCGGCGGATCACCCGCATGGTCCTGGTGGTGGTGGCGGCCTTCATCGTCTGCTGGACCCCCATTCACATCTTCATCATCGTCAAGACGGTGGTGGAGATTGACAACAAGAACCTGGCGGTGATGGCTTGCTGGCACCTGTGCATCGCCCTGGGCTACACCAACAGCAGCCTGAACCCCGTGCTCTACGCCTTCCTGGACGAGAACTTCAAGAGGTGCTTCAGGGACTTCTGCCTGCCGTACCGGTCCCGCTTGGAGCAGAGCAGCTTCTCCAGGGCCCGCAACAGCGTCAGAGGGCCCGCCACGGTCTGCGCTCCGSCGGCGGCTCAGAGGGCGGCTGGCTGACTCATCATGGCTCAATCAGCAGGGGGGTCAGCTCAGACTGAGGACACACAGTCCGAGTCCACAGGTGTTTGACCTACTGATCCATAAACCATGGACCACTGTGGACTCGTGTCACAAATGGTCTTTGTCTTGGATGTACCTACGTGTGCCTGTGCATGAGGAAATGTAGACAAATGGAAATGAAGTGTTGGTGAGAGCGTGCTGAGCGATCACTCATTTAGTTAAGATTGTGCTGAAATGCTTCCAACTGTTTTGGCTCCATTTTGTCCCACTTTGGAGATAATCCACATCCACGCTAGGYGAGGAGACATCTACTTATACTCTGTGTCCCAAGTGTAACTGGCAGACAAAATTATGATTTAATTAAAGTAAAGCGATCATGACTCAGTTTGTTGCTATTCAAACTTATTTCCAAAGAAAACATTTGCAGGACTCTGTGTATACTATGATTAAATCAACTTCAAATCAAATCAACTTTATTTATAAAGCACTGTAAAACAGCGGCCGCTGACACAAAGTGCTGTACATGAGGGGCTGAAAACAATTAAACAAATCAACACTAAAAACACTCAAACACTAAAAACAAGAAAAAACAGCTAAAACAGACCAARATCTCAAACTGTGTTCATTAAAAGGCAGTGAATAAAAATAAGTTTTAAGATTAGTTTTAAAAACAGCCAATGAGGAGGCCTGCCTGACGTGTAGAGGTAGCTCCTTCCAGAGCTTCGGAGCAGCAACTGAAAATGCTCGATGCTCGATCGATTAAAATGTAATAAATAACATAAAAATGTCTTATTATAAATAATTTACCACAATTTAAAATGGAGTAAAACAAAGACCATAATAAATAAACTGATCTAAGCATTATGAATAAATAAATTAAAACTAAAAAAAAGCAAAGATTGGATGTTAAAGTGTAGTGATGGTATTTGTCTGAGCAGAAGCTGTGTTTCAGTCTGGAAGGTTTCATCACACTGGTGTGTGTTTTTTGTGTTTGAATCAGCCCCTCAGATCACACTTTCTCTGTGACACAGATCAGAATGACCCTGATAAATGAAAATATCATCATTACAGAGCAGCAGGGAAGAAGTTTTAATGATTTTGTATGATAGGTAGTTCAGATCTTATCAAGTAAGGTTCTGTGGAAACATTATGAACAATTATTATCTTAGCTGTTGTGGATAGTCCTTTGAATGACCTCAGTTTATGAAATATTGTTTAATTCTGTACCGTAACAAACTAACAGCTAATATGTGAGAAATCAGGACCAAAATGGACTGAGAATATTTTTTAAAACTACTTAACTCTCAAAAACTTCACAGTAGTTTCTGCAGACATTAATATTTATATMAATCTTTCCACCACCGTCAGTTTGTTACCTTTAACACAACARGAATATTTCTGAGGGCGTGTCCTCATGAAACAGCAAAAGTGCCACAGTTCAGGAGCGTCACCAAAGGGGGGACGGGTGGGGGGCAGACAGCCRCGACCGTAAAACGCAGCAGAAAAGTTTGGTTTCACTTAGTTTTCTTACAGTTTTTAGTCGTTAACAAATCTTCAACAATCACAGTTCAGTGAAATATCACCATAAGTTTCTTAAGCTTTTGTTTGGTTTGTGTGTTTGTCATCTAATATATTTGGGATTAGTGGAACCTCAAACTAAAAAAAAAACTTTTTCTTTGAACAAATATTTAAAAAACAAAAATCGAAAATCTGTTCTCCCTTAAGGACGACGGTTTTAAACAGAAAACAACTTTAATGYCCAGAAAGTAAATGTTCTCCAATCAGAATGCACAAGAGGTTATATCCACATTTATTATTTATTTATTTGTATRTATAAATATGATTTTACAGGTGAGTAGACGAGGTTAAATGAATTGCGTAGTGATTGTGTTGTTCTCATTTAACATGATCAACTGATAAAATGTAAATTTGTAAAATAATAATAATAAAAAACAAGACGGCCTGTGTCAGAACTCAGTATTTTTTGAAAAGCTTAAATATGACAACAGCGTAATAAAACCCTCTGAAATGTTGAAGCGTCAGTGTACCAGCCTAAGATTAGGACTGGACCCCATCTGACCACCGCTTTGAAGACTTTCTGGATATGTGCCTGCTACAGCTAGCTGCTGCTGTTTGTATTCGAGTTTTCAAATAGTCACATAGTTCCTTGTCATGTTTAATGTAATATGGAGACTGAAGTTGTTTTTGTAATGGTAGTACTTTGAATGGATCAAAGAGCTCATGAAATAATTGAAAAACTGCATCACATCCAATTATTGTTGATTTATTCACTCCTCTGTTTTGCAAGGAATCACAGGATGACCAAAAGAATTAAATAAAATTGTGAAAGATCAAAAAATATGAATTGATAAAATTTAGATAATGAGTTTATTAGGACAAGTTTTTAGCCACAATTGTAAAAAAATAACAACAATATTTATGGTTTAATTTTAAATATGGATTTTATTGTTTTTTAATATGTATTTTTTATTTACACACTGTTAACGTATTTCTTAATTTTACTTTTTTTCCTACACTTATTTACTCTCTTTTGTCTTTATGTGTTGAAGTAGTTTTAGTCTCCACCATTTTGTTCTTGCTGTTGAGTCATTCTAACTACAAACATCAGAAACTGTACAGCAGCTTTGAAACTACATTTGGATGTCAACATTTGTGTTAACATACTGTACAGTTTATTTAAACGACTGTCCCTCCAATTTAATTAGGGATTTATCATTAAACAGAAGGTATTTTCTCATTATTTTATTATTATTCTCATTGTGGATAACAACAACTGGTGGAATAACAAAACTGTTGTTGAATAAACATCAGTAGGGCTGTATATATTTTATTGAATGTAAAAAAATTTATTCATCTGTAATGATCTACAGTATTTAGTGGTGTTTTGTGTAGCTGCCATAACAAGCTAAAATTTTGATCAAAATAAAGTGTTGCATTATTAGGCATGTTTATTATAAATTAAAATTTTCTTGTTTTTGTGTTAAAGCTGTCAGAAGAACATTTATAAAAGTCCAGCAGTGTTCATTTATTTGACGGAAAACTAAAACCATCATGCCTTATTCATTATTGTTCTGTCTTTTGTTTTGTTTATGAAAAAGGTGAAATGTTTTGTAAAGTAATAAGGCGTTAAATTCACATATGCGTCAACACACGCACACCACACAGAGGGACACACACATATTGTACTGTAATGTAACACACAAAAACGCCCCCTAATTTTTTTGCTAGCTTGTTTCTTGTGCTTTTATTTTGAAAAGTTTGTAAAATTGAAATCAGTTTTTACCTTGTTCTTGTTTTTTTATATTACAGCTCATAAACACTTTTTGAGCTGTGTATAGATACCATGTGTAAATCAGTCAATAAGTACTGATTAGTGATTGAGTACAAGTACTCAGGGCAGAGGGGTCCCAGCGGCCCTCAGTTACACGACCGATTGTGATGAATTGTGTTTAATCATGACAGAATCAATTAAACACAGTGAAATAAATCAAACATGGTACTGTAATTTTGGGTAACTATGATTGTAAACAACACTGTAAGTAAGCTAGTAAACCTTATTTATGTATATGTGTTTTTTTTTATATAGCACCTTTCACAGACACGATCATAAAGTGCTTAACAGAGAGCAAAATACCTAAAACAATAAGACAGGGCATAAATATAATGAAGAACAATAAAAACAGTAAACAAAGCTCAACTAAAAGCCTGTCTGAATAAAAATGTCTTAAGATGTTTCTTAAAAGAGTCRGTAGAATCAGAGCAGTGAAAAGCTCTGTCTCCACTGGTTTTGTAATGGGTTTGAGGTACTGTACCACCAACAGCAGTGGACTTGAAGACCTCAAAGTCCTGGATGGACAGAGTGGCTTTACAAGGTCTAATATTTGTATTTGTGGAGCCTGACCATGAAGTGCTCTAAAAGTTAAAACTTAAATTTTAAAATTACTCCTAAAACAGTGCAGAGAGACCAACAAACTGCTGAAAGACTGCAAACAAGTGAACTGGGCAATTTGGCTTCTTTCTAATTCAAACTCTCAGCTCTAAATGTTCTAGAGTTAAAGTTGTCTTCCAGCCAGAGGTGGGAGGTTTGTTTGTGTTTGTTTATCAGATATTGCAGTGTTGTGTCCAATCTGTTTAACATGTTTCATGAGGTGGAGAGGGCTGAACATTAAGCTGAAATCAACAAACAGCATTTTCATTTAAAAGACATCCTCACTCAGAAAACAGATTGTTGGACTTACTTCAGCCATGTCAACAATGTCCACTCAGCTGAGGAGAGTAAATATAAAACAACTTTACATTTACTTTCAAAGAAAATGTGAAAGTTGGTTAGGATGTCCTGTAACCGGAGGGTTGCTGGTTCAATCCCCCGTTCCGGCCATCTCAGTCATTGTGTCCTTGGGTAAGACACTTCACTCAGCTTGCCTACTGATGATGGTCAAAGGGGGTAAGTGTCTGGGGCATAAATATTTGGTGGGGTGGGGGGTATCCTGATACCAGCCCCACCTCTGTCATCATGCTCCAGGGTAGCTGTGGCTACAGTGTCGCTTACCACCATCAAWGGGTGAATGACTGTAGCACTTTGGGGCTTGATAAAGCACTAAGTTCCGCATCCATTCATCCATCCATCCATCGCTRTATCACAATACAGCAGGTAAAATAAGTATTGAACACGTCACCATTTTTCTCAGTAAATATATTACTAGAGGTGCTAATGACATGAAATTTTCACCAGATGTC